CAGTAATTTTCCATCCAAGTTGTCAGACCCTGGTGGCTTGTCATTGTTAATAGACAACAATAATATTTTCACCTCTTCCACACTGACTTTACAGAATTCAAAATTATAATGCTTGTCTTTCATAATTTGGTCAGATATACTTGGATGTGTAGTGTCAGCAATTGTTGCTGGAATGTCATGCCTACGTTTGCTAATCTTGCCAATGAAAAAAGTATTAAAGTAGTTGGCAATATCAGTTGGTTTTGTGATGAATGATTCCCAAAATTTCATTTAAGGTGCTCCAAAGCGTTTTACTATCATTCTTTATGTAATTTATCCTTGTTTCATAGTGTTGTTTCTTTCTTTTTATTCAGTTCAGTTTCTCAATTTGCAATACGATTGCCAATCGGTTGTGCAGACAGATGTATTTGCCATTCCTTTTGCCTCATCCCTCTCAACCATACAATTTTCAATTCCTCATCAATCCACAGGGATTTAACAGTTTTTACAGTAATTTTCTTAATGGGTGCATGCTTATTAGTAACTGGAATAAGCAATTTCATAAATGTGTCAAGTGCAGTGTCTGTTTGCTCCTCATTACACACCACAGACCAACATATATTATTTATATCAAGAAAATAGGAATCACTACAAAACGTCTGGTATGACCTCTTATACACAATATTAGGCCCAGCCTTTGGAACTTTGGTTTTCCTAGATATGGCTACTATATTGTGATCACTACATTCAATGGATTTGGATACTGCTTTGAAACAAATCTCTGCAGCATTAGTAAGGATATGATCAATACATGTTGATGATTTAATTCCTGTACTGTTTGTAACTACCCTGGTAGGTTGATTGAGAACCTGAACCAGGTTGCAGGCACTGGTTACAGTTTGAAGCTTTCTCTTGAGTGGGCAGCCTGATGAAAGCCAGTCAATATTTAAATCACCCAGAAAGTATACCTCTCTATTGATATCACATACATTATCAAGCATTTCACACATGTTATCCAGATACTGACTGTCTATAGCAGCTTCCCACCAGAATTGGCTTTAGGTGAGGCAGATGAACCTGTAGCCATATGACTTCAACAGTATTTAACATGAGATCCTCTCTAATCTTCACAGGAACGTGGTTCTCAATATAAACAGCTACACCTCCACCATTGGCATTTCTATATTTTCTGTAAATGTTATAACCTTGTATTGCTACAACTGTATCATCAAAGGTATTATCTAAGTTAGTTTCAGAGATAGTCAGAATATGAATATCATCTATTACTAGCAAATTATTGATTTCATGAACCTTGTTTCTTAAGCTACATATGTTAACGTGGGCTATTTTGAGCACTTTTCTTCTGGGATGCTTACTTGTGGTAGGGATTAGCTGAGCTGGTCTTGGGTCATTGCTAAGTCATTGTCTCAACACAGCCTTATAATGCTGTGAAAGGATCCAGGAACCCAAATGATTTGGGTGGATCCCATCCTCCTTATAAAACATGTTTTGTTTCCAAAAGGTATCAAAATTGTCAACAACAGTTACACCCATTGAGCTGCAATAATCACTGTAGCCAGTTGTGAAGAGCAAGAATCCTGCTAAAGCGTTCAATGCCACGATTCAGAGAGGGCACAGGGCCAGATATGATGGGTTTTTTGTTAGTGTCTAGCAGAGAGTAAATCAGCTCTTTAAAATCTAGTTTCAACTGTTCAGAGCTGCCCTTCATAATGTCATTAAAACCCACATGGACTACGATATAATCGATTTCCATGACCTGACGTAGTACATTCGGGAGCAGCATAGTAATGTAATTAACTCGAGCTCCGGGATAGGACATTGTTTTTGCACCAGGAACGGTCACATTTCTTACCATGGAGGTGCCCAATATCACAGCTGGCGAGAAGGACGAGGAAATCCACCCACTCCCACGCTTCCCAGGATGCAGGCCTCCGACAGATGGAGAAGCCCCGCTGTCTTAGGTCAGTTAGGATCACCACTTTATTTTAAGAATGTGAAATGTCAGAATAATAGTGGAGAGAATGATTTATTTCAGCTTTTATTTCTTTCATCACATTCCCAGTGGGTCAGAAGTTTACATACATTCAATTAGTATTTAGTAGCATTGCCTTTAAATTGTTTAACTTAGGTCAAATGTTTCAGGTAGCCTTCCACAAGCTTCCCACAATAAGTTGGGTGAATTTTGGCCCATTCCTCCTGACAGAGCTGGTGTAACTGAGTCAGGTTTGTAGGCCTCCTTGCTCGCACATGCTTTTTCAGTTCTGCCCACACATTTTCTATAGGATTGAGGTCAGGGCTTTGTGAAGGCCACTCCCATACCTTGACTTTGTTGTCCTTAAGCCATTTTGCCACAACTTTGGAAGTATGCTTGGGGACATTGTCCATTTGGAAGACCCATTTGCGACCAAGCTTTAACTTCCCGACTGATGGCTTGTGATATTGCTTCAATATATCCACATAATTTCCCCTCCTCATGATGCCATCTATTTTGTGAAGTGCACCAGCCCTCCTGCAACAAAGCACCGCCACAGCATGATGCTGTCACCCTCGTGCTTCACGGTTGGGATGGTGTTCTTCGGCTTGCAAGCGACCCCCCTTTTCCTCCAAACATAACGATGGTCATTATTGCCAAACAGTTCTAGTTTCAGAGGACATTTCTCCAAAAAGTACAATCTTTGTCCCTATGTGCAGTTGCAAACCGTAGTATGGCTTTTTTATGGCGGTTTTGGAGCAGTGGCTTCTTCCTTGATGAGCGGCCTTTCGGGTTATGTCAACATAGGACTTGTTTTACTGTGGATATAGATACTTTTGTACCTGATTCCTCCAGCATTTTCACAAGGTCCTTTGCTGTTGTTCTGGGATTGATTTGCACTTCACGCGTCTCCTTCCTGAGCGGTATGACGGCTGCGTGGTCCCAGGGTGTTTATACATGCGTACTATTGTTTGTACAGATGAACGTGGTAACTTCAGGCGTTTGGAAATTGCTCCGAAGGATGAACCAGACTTGTGGAGGTCTACAATTTTTCTTGGCTGATTTCTTTTGATTTTCCCATGATGTCAAGCAAAGAGGCACTGTGTTTAAAGGTAGGCCTTGACATACTTCCACAGGTACACCTCCAATTGACTCAAATTATGTCAATTAGCCTATCAGAAGCTTCTAAAGCCGTGACATCATTTTCTGGAATTTTCCAAGCTGTTTAAAGGCACAGTCTATTTAGTGTATGTAAACTTCTGACCCACTGGAATTGTGATACAGTGAATTATAAGTGAAATAATCTTTCTGTAAACAATTGTTGGAAAAATTACTTGTGTCATGCACAAAGTAGATGTCCTAACCGACTTGCCAAAACTATAGTTTGTTAACAAGAAATGTGTGGAGTGGTTGAAAAACGAGTTTTAATGACTACAACCTATGTGTATGTAAACTTCCGACTTCAACTGTAGCTTTCCCGGTCAGGGCTGTGCACAAATACTCCATCTATGTAAGATTAACCAAGTTTCCTCTTTCGCCTCGCCCTTTCTGTAATCAGCCTATGAGCGGTGCTGTGGTGAAACTAGTTGAGAGACGCTGCCTACTGCAGTCTGTATCATCACAGAATAAAGTTGTGCTTACACCTTCGAAAAAGCCTAAGTCTATGTAGGCTACAATAGAAAATACCTAGCAGCGGATTTAAAGGATTAGGCTACACTTGAAGAGGGGAACATTTTACCTTAGTCAACAATCATTTCAATGGCCCGTGTAGCCACAGCCACTGTTTTATTATTGCCGTTCATACTAACGGTGAGTAAAACATCTTATTTTTCATATTGTAACATGTGCTGGTAATTAGGTATAGGCTACACGAGCAATAACGGATCTGTTTTTGTTTTAGGTGCGACACTTCTCAGGCAGCCTAGATGGGAGCGTCTCAATGACAATGTCGAAAATACAGTTTTTCTCGAATGAATTTACCGTTTTCCTTTTAGGATTGTAACCTTCACTTATCTGAAGAGAAAGTTGACTTCATATGTTGCTATTTTACTACTTTCCCTTTCATATTTCGCGTGCAACACCGACTACGGACAACATGAGAACAAAAACAGTTTAGCTGCGTAATGGTGCCCAGTGGTCATATGCCTAGAGATAGTCTGAACACATCTGGTCAACGTCAGTGAAAGAACAGTTGGTGAAAAACTTAGCTCCGAATTTAGAGAATGTCACGGAATAGGACATCTATCAACACTCACAATCGACACTGATATCACTATCACAACTTTCTCCTAGTTTAAATGTTGTGAAATTAATTTGTTCGATATTTTCATTGGACCTCCTGCATACAGAGGAAAACGAATTTCTCATAAACTGTATACATACAGGTTCCTGTCGTAGTGATAGTGAACGAAAACTAATAATAGCTTAAAGCTATATCATTTTCAGTTCTAAGTATGCCTGTCATATGTCTGTGATTATGAATTGGCATAAACATGCAATTATAATTTGCCTTGGCAAGAAACCACACGTTAGGCCTACAGTGCCTTCAGAAGGTATTCATACCCCTTGCTTGACTTACTCCACATTTTGTTGTCTTAGAGCCTGAATTCAAAATGTATTAAATATATAAAAAATCTCACCCATCTACACACAATACCCCATAATTCCCGTGTGTGTCAATAATGGTCCACTAAACAAAGGACATCCAGACAACTTGCCGCAACTGTCTGTGGGAAGCATTAGTCAACATGGGCCAGCATTCCTGTGGAATGCTTTCGACACCTTGTAGAGTCCATGCGCCGACGAATTAAAGCTGAAAAGGAGGTGCAACTCAATATTAAGAATGTGTACCTAATGTTTTGCACACTCAATGTATAAGCTATTGTACAACTTGTAGTCTACAGTTGTGAGTGATTTAGAAGTGATGCAGTGTTATTACGTTGTTATTATTACATTATCATAAAACCCATAGGCCTTCGTGGTGAGTCAATATTGTAATGCTGTGTTTTTTATTTTTTATTTTCTGCAGTTTATGCGTGTGGTGGCAGCAGAAGGCGGTGGGCTGAAGCTGAGAAGACAGAAGAGAGAATGGATCATTCCTCCTACGAGGTTGAAGGAGAATGTAGATTACACCAGCCGAGAGTACATTGCAAAGGTATGATCTGAACCTATATGTCTTACTCTAACTCATGGAGTGATTCAGATGTTTCTGACAACCATGAGACATGAAAAAGTCTGAGCATGACATAGCTATTTAGGCTACACATCGGATAAGTCAGTTATCTGTCTATAATTATTCATGCATAATAAGAGCCATGAAGCTACAGGGCTTTAGCGTTTAGTCAAAATTAGCACTTTGAAAGGTTGTTGATGTCTGTACCTTGAATCAAAGAAATGCTGAATGTTGTCTTGCTTTTTACTGATCAGGTTGGTTGCATACAGTAAATCTGTGTCAGCCACATGTTGTGCTCTAATGTGAAAAAATGCCTGTGTAATCGTTATGTTTGTGATTTATGTGTTAGGAGCAGGCTGCTCAGAGATACAGCCCAATGTGCGGTCACACGTACAGTCACTGAGGAATGGTTTAGTCTAAAAACAAAACAACAACAAGTCTTTCAACAACACATTCTGTTGTACACCTGTATCTCTTTTCTACAACTCAAACATAGCATTCATCTATTAATAGTTTCATATCTACAGTATACCTTGATATGAAAGCATGTGTTCAGCTACTTCTTCAGATGACATTTGACATTTAGGCTATGCTAAAAAAATGTACCTAGCTATTCACCGATGCTTACTATTATTATGTCAATACTATTTCAATAATAATAGTATTTTACTATCAAGGCTGATTGGTATGTGTGTTTGTGACAGATTCGCTCTGATAAGCAGTACACGTCAAAGGTGACGTACTCACTGACTGGGATTGGTGCAGACCAAAACCCCAGTCACCTATTCACTGTCAACAAAGAGAAAGGCCTGGTCAGAATCAATGGCATTCTGGACAGAGAGAAGACCGCTTCCTACCACGTAAGCTACCCACTAAAACCTAATCCAAGGAATGGAATGCTTGTGCTCAAAATGTAAGAAATGAATGAATGTCTAATGTTTTAACATGGCCTCTCTTTTAGTTACTTGGAGTAGCGAGATACGACAATGGAAGCAAAGCAGAGAACGACATTGACCTGCGTATTTTTGTTGAGGACCAGAATGACTGCCAACCAGTGTTCGTTTTTGGCCAATCAGGATCCGTTAATGAGTCCAGTGCTGCAGGCATGTTCCAATTATTTTAAATGTTTCTATCAAACTTCATGATAATTAGCAACCAAGCAACCAGAGTAGTGGTAATGGTTGAATTTGTCACTGTAGTAGCTGTTGTAGTAGTAGTGCTAGTACCAGTGGAATAAGTAGAATAGTGACAGTAGTGATACAGTAGTAGTAGTCGTCGTCGTCGTCGTTGTAATACAGATGTTGGATCTTAATTTGATCACTCTTGTTGCTGAGAATTTTACCTTCACAGCAGGAAATTCAAACGTTTAGTGTATTTGAGTTTTAAAAAGGCTTCTGAAGTTTGTAATTTCCACTTTGACATTTCAGACTCAATTTGACCTAATTAAAAATGTATCAACCCCTACAAAAATGTGCAATAATTATAATCCACATAATAATTCACATTTCCTGTTGCTGCAGGATTATTTTCCTGCTGTAGCAAACTGGCTCAAATAAGATCATACATCTGTAGTAGTAGTAGTAGTAGTTATAGTAGTTCTAGTAGTAGTGGCAGTGGTAATGGTAATAGTAGTAGTAGTAGTAGTAGTAGTAGTAGTAGTAGTAGTAGTAGTAGTAGTATTGGTGTACTGCACAAGTAACTTCCCATTGGCCAATTCCAGAAACCGTTGTCATGAAAGTGATAGCCACAGATGCGGATGAAGTGAACACACTACACTCTAAGATTTACTACAGCATAGTGCAGAAGAGTTCTTCAGATAGTATGTTCGCCATCAACTACGAGACTGGAGAGATTATGGTTCGCCAGACTACGCTGGACAGAGAGGTGAGAGAAATGCCTTGGTATACTATTATACAGTATACTGTGCATCTATGTGACCACAGCACTGTATGCATTAACACTTTCAGAGCCAATAATGTTGATGTCTACAACAATGAGTAATTAACTGTAAGCTCTATTATATTTATTGGTTGTCTAGACACAAGACACCTACATCCTGACTGTAAAAGGCTCAGACATGAACGGAGAAATGGGAGGAAACTCAGGAACAGGACAGGTGGTGATTAAAATCCTGGACATCAACGACAACATCCCCACCCTGGAGAAAGAATCTGTAAGAATCAAACCTTTCACTACTTTTCAATTCTCTATTCAGTTTAATAGTGTTTTTATCTTTATTATATTGTAGCAACCTTAACCCAACACCTAGCAGCCTTGTCGAGAGGTTCAGATCTCTTGGCACAATGGCTAACGTGTTGGCTTGACAGTTGCTGGACACCCCAAATTCACTGCAATATGTTGGGATATAGGATGTTTATGATGTGTGTATTTGTGTTTGCAGTACGAGGGCAGTGTGGAGGAGAACACGGTCAATGTGGAGGTGCTGAGGATCAAAGCCATTGATATGGATTTGAAGTACACTGAGAACTGGCTGGCTGTGTTCACCATCGTCACAGGCAACGAAGCTGGCTACTTCACCATCACTACTGACTCCAAGACCAACGAAGGCATTATTATGATCACCAAGGTACGGGCTATGATTGGAGATCGACTCAGGCTGGAATTTAATCGATAGCATATAGAACATTTTATTTTACATTTAATTCCAGCCTCAGTGTCTTGTAACTACTAGTCTTCTCAATTCTCATAATATTCCAACATTGTTTGTATCACTTGACTCATTCTGCTGTTTATCCCTGCTGTTTGAATCTAAAGGCACTGGACTACGAGGAGCTGAAAGTGCTCAACCTTGCCATAAGTGTTTCCAACAAAGCAGTGTACTACTTTGGCTCCTCCTCTACGAGTGGAGGGATAGGAGGAGGAGGGGTTATAGGCGGGGGTATCACGGGCGGTGGTAAGACCTACCCCATCAAGATCAATGTGGTCAACCAGAAAGAGGGCCCCAAATTCCAGCCAATGGTTAAAGTGGTGACCATCTCTGAGGACTCCACCACAGTCACCATTAACAAGGTCATCACCACCTACGCAGCCATCGACAGTGACACACTACTGACCGCTACCAATGTTAGGTGAGGTCCCAGATGTTTTCATATTGTTTGTTCGGAGTGAAGATTATGTGATGTGATTTTATGTTATGTTAATCTCCATCTTACTAAAGGATAATTTAGTTTATCCTAATTGTGTGCTCTTGTCATTATCATTTTCTCAGGTATGCCAAAATATACGACATAGACAACTGGCTGATCATCGATGAAAAGACAGCAGAGATCAAGCTGAACAAAGTGCCTGATCGGGAGTCCAAATACCTGGTCAATGGAACATACTACGCCAAGATAATAGCCATCACAACCGGCAAGTACCCATACTAATAATCAATTGGTCCTAATGCCATTATGTAAGATATCAAGAAGTCAAGAAATCTGCCTAGAACATTGGTTGCTGAAGATGCACTCTAGGACCTTTGCTCCACTAGGAGCTAAAAGGGAATAATTCAAGTCTGTATGTAATTATGTCTTTTCTTTTGGTGTCCAGATCTGCCATCCAAAACGGCCACAGGGACAATAGCCATCCAGGTGGAGGACTTTAACGACCACTGTCCCATACTGACAGCTACGACTACGACCATGTGTCTGGGGGACACTGCTGTGTATGTCACGGCTGTGGACGGGGACACCTTCCCCAACGGAGCTCCCTTCAAGTTCAGAGTGATTCAGGAGGACAGCAAACAGAAGTGGAAAGTGGAGCACCTCAATGGTAACAGAACTGGTCTGGGACTTTGGGGTTTAGGAAGCAGATAGACAGTATGACAAGCTTCACCAAGGGGCTGTTTTGGCATTATTTTATTGAGCCTGATAGAAAGCTTTAGAAAGAGCAGTCTTAAACTGAACTGAAACGATATCTTGTGGTGTGTTTGAATGGAATTGATTGATAGATTTGATTTCTAGATTTGTACAGTTCATGTTTGTTTTGTCTCTCTCATATTTATTTTAGCTACCACTGCCATTTTACGAGACCATGCCCACCTGTGGCCAGGTCACTACAAGGTTGCTGTGGAGATCAGTGACCAGCAGGGGAAGGCCTGTGGTGACGTCCAGATTCTGACCATGGTTGTGTGCACCTGTGATCAAGTCAATAAGGTCTGCTTCGCCCAGGTGACGGGTAAGGATGTCACGTTAGGAGCATCTGCCATCCTGCTGCTCCTTCTGGGCCTCCTGCTGTTGCTGCGTGAGTAGGCCCTCTGTTATCTTCATACTCTATTGGCTTCCTCAAACTGCCTACAGTTGAAGTCGGAAGTTTACATACACTTAGGTTGGAGTCATTAAAACTCGTTTTTCAACCACTCCACACATTTCTTGTTAACAAACTATAGTTTTGGCAAGTCGGTTAGGACATCTACTTTGTGCATGACACAAGTAATTTTTTCAACAATTGTTTACAGACAGATTATTTCACTTATAATTCACTGTATCACAATTCCAGTGGGTCAGAAGTTTACATACAAAGTGCCTTTAAACAGCTTCGAAAATTCCAGAAAATTATGTCATGGCTTTAGAAGCTTCTGATAGGCTAATTGACATCATTTGAGTCAATTGGAGGTGTACCTGTGGATGTATTTCAAGGCCTACCTTCAAACTCAGTGCCTCTTTGCTTGACATTATGGGAAAATCAAAAGAAACAGCCAAGACCTCAGAAATAAAAGTGTAGACCTCCACAAGTCTGGTTCATTCTTGGGAGCAATTTCCAAATGCATGGAGGTACCACGTTCATCTGTACAAACAATAGTATGCAAGTATAAACACCATGGGGCCACGCAGCCGTCATACCGCTCAGGAAGGAGACGCGTTCTGTCTCCTAGAGATGAACGTACTTTGGTGCGAAAAGTGCAAATCAATCCCAGAACAACAGCAAAGGACCTTGTGAAGATGCTGGAGGAAACATGTACAAAAGTATCTATATCCACAGTAAAACGAGTCCTATATTGACATAACCCGAAAGGCCGCTCAGCAATGAAGAAGCCACTGCTCCAAAACCGCCATAAAAAAGCCATACTACGGTTTGCAACTGCACATAGGGACAAATATTGTACTTTTTGGAGAAATGACCTCTGAAACAAAAATAGAACTGTTTGACCATAATGACCATCGTTATGTTTGGAGGAAAAAGGGGGTTGCTTGCTAGCCGAAGAACACCATCCCAACCGTGAAGCACGGGGGTGGCAGCAACATGCTGTGGGGGTGCTTTTCTGCAGGAGGGACTGGTGCACTTCACAAAATAGATGGCATCATAAGGAAGGAAAATTATGTGGATATATTGAAGCAACATCTCAAGACATCAGTCAGGATGTTAAAGCTTGGCCGCAAATGGGTCTTCCAAATGGACAATGACCCCAAGCATACTTCCAAAGTTGTTGCAAAATGTCTTAAGTACAACAAAGTCAAGGTATTGGAGTGGCCATCACAAAGCCCTGACCTCAATCCTATAGAAAATGTGTGGGCAGAACTGAAAAAGCATGTGCGAGCAAGGAGGCCTACAAACCTGACTCAGTTACTCCAGTTCTGTCAGGAGGAATGGGCCAAAATTCACCCAACTTATTGTGGGAAGCTTGTGGAAGGCTACCCGAAACGTTTGACTCAAGTTAAACAATTTAAAGGCAATGCTACCAAATACTAATTGAGTGTATGTAAATTTCTGACCCACTGGGAATATGATGAAATAAATAAAATCTGAAATAAATCATTCTCTCTACTAATATTCTGACATTTCACATTCTTAAAATAAAGTGGTGATCCTAACTGACCTAAAACAGGGGAATTTTACTAGGATTAAATGTCAGGAATTGTGAAAAACTGAGATTAAATGTATTTGGCTAAGGTGTATGTAAACTTCCGACTTCAACTGTATATAATAAATTATCAACCCTGCAAGCAATACAAGACACTATTATTATGGTGGGAGATTATAATACTGTTTTAAATACCTCAATGGACCGTAAAGGAAATCACACTACAAACTATCACCCTCATGCTCTTAAGGAAATCATGAATGTCATGGATATATTGGAACTAGTGGATATATGGAGATATACATGGCGGAGGCTCAATCAAGCTAGTCGTCTTGACTTCTTTCTTATGTCATTCTCGTTGGCACCAAAAGTTTAAAAAGTGTTGATGGGGACAGAATGCGGTCAGATCATCAGCTAATTGGCATATACATTACTCTTACTGAATTTCCACGTGGGCGAGGATATTGGAAATGTAATCAAAGCCTATTTGATGATAACTTGTTTTTAACTAGGACAAAGGAATTTATACCTGATTTTTTCCGACACAACATAGGTACAGCAAATCCCCTTATTGTATGGAACACTTTTAAATATGCCTTTAGAGGCCATGCAATTCAGTATTCATCTCTAAAACAAAAACAATTTAGGTCAAAAGGAAATAGAAGGTCAAACTGAACAGATAGATAGCAATAAAAACTGGACCATAGAAGCTCAAAAAAAGAAAAAGAAATGGAGGAACTTATTCAAGAAAGATCAAGTGTAATATATTATACAAAATAAAGCAAACTGGATGGAATATGGGGAGAAATGCACCAAATTCTTTGTTAGTCTTCACATAGAAATGCTACCAAAAAGAATTGACTGAAACTGGTTACATACGACGGCGTTAATTGTATGGATTTTTTTTCTATTGATAATGTAAAATTAACAGCCGTACAGAAAGATTCATGTGAAGGCGAAATTACAGAGAAGGAACTTCTTGATGCAATTAAAGCCTTTAAGTCCGGGAAAACTCCAGGGCTGGATGGCATACCAGTTGAGGTATACCAATCCATTTTTGATATACTCAGAGGACCGTTATTAGCATTTTTTAACCACTCCTATGTAAATGGTAGATGATGAGACACTCAACAAAAAGGTCTGATTTCATTATTACTGAAACAGGATACAAGTGAGAAATATAAAGGTCCAGTCCATTGAAAAAATTGGAGGCCCCTTACACTTCAGTGTTGTGATGCAAAAATTCTAAAAAATGTATAGCGCATAGAATTAAAAAGGTATTGTCAGACATTATTCATTATAATCATAATTCATGTCTCCCGAGTGGCGCAGTGGTCTAAGGCGCTGCATTGCAGTGCTAGCTGTGCCACTAGAGATCCTGGTTCGAATCCAGGCTTTGTCGTAGCCGGCCGCGACCGGGAGACCCATGCGACGGCGCACAATTGGCCCAGCGTCGTCCAGGGTGGGGGAGGGAATGGCCGGCAGGGATGTAGCTCAGTTGGTAGAGCATGGCGTTTGCAACGCCAGGGTTGTGGGTTCGATTCCCACGGGGGGCCAGTATGAAAAAAATAATGAATGCACTCACTAACTGTAAGTCGCTCTGGATAAGAGCGTCTGCTAAATGACTAAAAATGTAAATAATCAGACAGGTTTTTTTACATGGACAATACATTGGAGATAATATAAGGCAAGTGCTGGAAACAATATAACACTATGGAAAGTCTGGGAAACCAGGACTTTGAAAAGGCTTTTGATAAAGTACGACTGGAGTTTATATATAAATGCCTGGAACATTTCAATTTGGGTTAAAATCATGTATAGTAATCTAGGTGTAAAATAGTAAATAATGGCTACTAAGTTTTAAACTGTCAAGAGGAGCAAAACAAGGTTGTCCACTATCAGCATATGTATTTATTATGGCCATCGAAATGTTAGCTATTAAAATCAGATCCAACAGTAATATCAAGGGATTAGAAATCCAGGGCTTAAAAAAGGTGTCATTGTAGGCTGATGATTCATGTTTTTTTTAAATCCACAACTTGGATCCCTCCACAGCCTCATAGAGGATCTAGATAATTTTTCTAACCTCTCTGGATTACAACCAAATTATGATAAGTGTACTATATTACGTATTGGATCACTAAAAATACAACTTTTACATTACCGTGTAGTTTACCAATGAAATGGTCTGATGGCGATGTGGATATACTCGGTATACATATCCTGAAATGTTATGATGAGTTTCTCGGGTATCAAAGAAACAGCCTCTCCTTCATTCTCTCAGCGGAACCAAAAAAAACAGACTGTAATTTCCAAGGACACTGTCGTTCCTGTCCCAGAAAACACACTCTTCCACTACTTTCTACAATAACATCAAGCTCTATTTACCCCTTATAAATACTCTCCTGAGGATATTCATTATCACCCATGCAATGTTAGGAACATTCAATGTTAGTAATTAAATACTTGCATCAAATCCACTTCTGATAATGTATTAAAATGTATTTCGCCTTTAAATGTCATTTTGGTGCTATGATTCAATATGTTACTTGTCATTGGCTCCATCTCCTGGTCGTTTTGAGTATTACAAACTTCATTTTATGACGATTTATAACATAAACGGTCCGTAACCCATTCCTCTCTTTTGTAATGTCTTTCACACTACGGGACTAAAAACCCACTCTATTCCATTTTATGATGTATCCTAGATTACATCAAAGGTTCCTTGCCCACTCTTTATGACGTTTCTAACATCAAGGGTTTACCTGAGCCCATTCAATGGAATCATCCACTCTCTTTATAATATAATGTTTTAAATCATATTAAAGGTGCTCTGCGCCTAATCTCTCTTTATAATATAATGTTTTAAATCATATTAAAGGTGCCCTGCGCCTTATCTCTCACTATTCTGTTGCATTTACTCCTTACTTCAACCACACTCTAATTTGAATCGTAGCACCATGTAATAGTCAAATTATATATTCCTCCTTACACCCTTTACATAATTCAATAACACTCATCATCCCCCTTCAAAAATATTGAATTTTAAAGTTCATTACAGTTCAGCTTTACCACAGATAAGCAGATTTTGACATAATTCAAAAAATGAAAGTCTGCTTACCTGTTAGTTGAGCTGTGAACTGCATCCTGTTCATTTAGACGCCAATCTGTTATGATGAGTTTCTCGGGTATCAAAGAATCAAGGATGCAAGGATATACTTAGACATTCTGTGGAGATTTCATACCAAGTATTTATTTAATCACAAGCTCGTGGGTTCATCTAACAAACGGACATGGCTTTGCCCTTCGTCAGTTGAACTAACTTGAACAAAGACACCCTACCTTATATACCCTTCTGTTGCCATCTTCCTGACATACATCTGGCAAGTCTCCATGGGAACTCCCTGTCTTTAATGTTCATCACTCTTTACCCCAAGTCAG